GAAGAGACACCCCTTGAGGAGACATCAGAAGTGATAATAGAAGAGACACCCCTTGAGGAGACATCAGAAGTGATAACAGAAGAGACTCCCCTTGAGGAGACATCAGAAGTGATAATAAAAGAGACACCTCTTGAGGASACATCAGAAGTGATAATCGAAGAGACACCTCTTGAGGAGACATCAGAGGAGATAATCGAAGAGACACCCCTTGAGGAGACATCAGARGWGATAATACAAGAGGCACCCCTTGAGGAGATATCAGAAGTGATAATAATAGAGGGGCCTCTTGAGGAACCCGAAACGCAAGAAAAAATAACAATAGAAGAGATGCCACTTGAGGAGAAATCCCTAGAGGAGACGTCAGAAGAGATAACAATAGAGGAAACACCTCTTGAAGAAACTTCCAAAGTAAAGACTTTCCCAGAGACTGTTAAGGAGACCCACTTGATACAAAATATGGTAGAAGAAAAGAATATGGTAGTTTCTCCAATATCAAATTATGAAATACAGGAAATTCCAGTAGAGGAATCTAAAAACAACAAAGATTCAGTAAAAGAAATAGTTGAACCTGCTTCAAATGAAGATGTTGGATCATGGAGCATGACGGTTATAGGCACCATTCCTGATGAAGAGCAAAAGAGTACAAACATTGGGGAGGAATTTATTGAGATAACAGAAGAACCTCTCCCTGATGTCTCTGAAAATAATGTGGAAATAACATATGAGCCCTTACCAGAGACAGTCACAGAAACTAAGATGCAAGAGAAGACAAAAACAGAAGACAAACAAAGAAAAGAATCCACGCGTTCAAATGTTTCTTCACACAGCTGTGTTTGCACTCCAAGATACCAAGACACCTGCGATCACCAGTTTATGGTTGAAGAATTCAAAATGAAAATATCGAGGATAGAAAAAGAGAAAGAGTACCTTGAAGGCAAGTACGACGAATTGCGAAGGGAAAAATCTTTTTCTGATTCTTATAGACAGATGTCCTCTAGAGATGCAGACTACTCACACCATTTACTAAACCAATCTGATGGTGGCTATACACCACGCTCAACAACAAGTGAATGCTACCACTGTGAATGTATGGGTCAGAAMAGCAACCGAAGAAATACAACTCGCAAGAGCTCGGAATCTGAATATTATAAGCTAAAATGCGACCAGATACGAAAAGAAAAGGAACACTTGGAAATGGCCTACGAAGGAGAGAGGAGGCAGAAAGAAGATATGGAGAGAGAATTCGAGTATGAAAGAAATGAAAAGCATTACGTAGAGAAGAGATACGAAACGATGTTGCAAACTATAGGAAGATTTGAGGATACGATAAGAGAACTCAGACGCGAGAACGAAAATTTGCAATCAAACTTGAGYGAGTGGTCCAGTTCAAGAGTTCAGACCTTGCATGAAGTAAACAGCGGCATCCCAAGTACTGATAAATCATTGATAGATGAATCAAGTACTGAAGTACTAGAATACAAAAGAAGTCTTGATATCCTTGAAAGAGAAAATAGGGAATTCAGAGAAATTCTTGATGCATTGAACAAAAGAAATGAAGGCCAAGAAAATCTTAAAGGAATAGAACTAGGACTTGTAAGAGAAAAAGAATTTCTTGATTTGAAAAGGGAGCGCTCAAGGTTTGAAAACATCATCCTTGAACAGAAGAGAACAATTGCACACCAGCAAGAGAGAATTGAGGAGATAAGGAAGGAATACGAAGATGAAATCTGGAGCATAAAGGAGACCAACAGGAAAAACGAAAGAAAGTTTAAAGAGCTTCAAAAAGATCTAGATGAACGAGATAGGGAATTAGATGATCTAAAAAGATCAAGAGTTGAAGAGATTCATATGCTTGAGATTAAACTTCAAACTGAGTCTTCAAACAGTTCTCAGTTCCAGAGTCAAGTTAACGAGCTACAACTTAAAGTTCAGAGATTGGAAAGCGAAAAGATCAAGTTAAGAGGGCAACTAAATGCAAGTTTTGGCAATCAGCCATCCATGGATGAAASTTACAGCGAAGATGTGTCAATTTTGAGGCGTAAGTACGAAGAAGAACAACGGTCTAAGGTTAAGCTTGCCAATGATATCAAGTATCTTCTACAAGATATAATGGACTTGAAAGACAGGAACAAGCGAATCGAAGACGACTTCATCAGAGAAAGAAATGAAATAAAAAACATGTTGGAAAAGCAAGCCCACGAAATCACTCAAGTATATTTGACACAAATCACAAAGCTTCAAGGAGCGTTGTCAGAAGAGGTAAGGCGTAGAGAAATGATTGAGAATGGAATGAATCCAGCTATGTATGGCAATACATCTGCAGGAGTCAGCCAACAGGCTCACCAGAATTCAAGTACGCTCAGTGGTATGACAGCTGCTCAGCAGAATGGAGTTTCTTTCCCTGCAAACCAAGACAACACCAACATTGCTGCAAGACTTGATAATGAAGTAAGGAAACGAGAAGCTCTTGAAGTAGAGAACAAGAACTTGCTCTATGAGATAAATAAGCTACTGGGTGGAATAAATGAAGATCAGACTGTTGGCAGTTATCCATCACTTGAAAGAGAAGACTTACCAATTGCAGCATCACCTGCCAGAAACAGTGGTCTGCAAAAGAAGAATAAGGAACTAATCAAAGAAATTGCAGAACTAAGAGAAACAGTTGAAGACATGGAAGCAACGGCAAAGAAAAACAAGCAATACAAAAATAAAATCTCGGATCTCCAGGAAGAACTTGACCACGTCACTCGTAAAAGAGATGATTTAGCATCAACTCATCGAAATCTAAAAAAAGACGTTGATCAGCTTTCAGCAACTCTAGATGAGCTTCAAAGGAAAAACCGACAATACGCTGACGAAGTCGATCGCTTGATGAGAAAGATCCAAGACTTGGAAGATAGTTTTAAAAGCGAGAAAACAAAATTGGTGAGGGAACACGAGAGTGAAATGGAAAGAGCCTTGGATGATGCTGACAGAAAGAATGAGGAACTTCAGAGGAAATTTGAAGAACAAAAAACGGTTATTGAGCAGCTTGGGGTAATAGCAAGCAAAGCTGGCTATGATGTCCAAGCTCTGACAGAAAACGAAGGTGGAAGCAAGCAAGAAAGGGGTGATCGTGACCGCAAAAGCCCTGATCAGTTACGTCCAGGTAAAGAAAATACTGATGCGTACGCATCTTCACTAAAGAAACAAGTGGAAAACCTGCAAATCATGCTGCAATCTTCAAACAAAAGGCACGAGGAMGAATTAAAGGGAGTTCAAAACCAGAAGAAGGAAATGAGAGAAGAGTTCGAAAAAGAGCGACAATCGCTGAAGCAGTATTTCAATCAAGAGAAAGTAATGCTTGAGAGAAGAACGCATGGATTTGGAGATAACGGAATCCCAGGTTTCAGTGGCTCCCAAATTAGCGGAATTAATCAACCAGCAATTCCTTACGCCCAACAACAAATTGCTCCAGCAGATGCATTTATTACAGCTCAGGAAGCCAACGGTTTATTTGAATCGATCCCACCCATGTCTCCAAGCCCCGGTTTCTCTGACAGTCAAGTTGGTCAAAGAGAATTAAATAGTATGAGTGCCCATCCACGTGGATCACCTGCAACGTCAAGTAACTGGAATCCTACTCTTCAAAATCAACAATATGCTGCAAATGGTATGTCCATGACCATGCCGAACACATATCCCAACCAACAGCAACATTCAAGTCCAATAAACGGTTTTTATCCTAATCAACCAGTTTCTGTAGGCAATGGTACTGCCAATGGACAACAACAGGGTAATCCCCCATTCGACTTACAAGACCATACTAGCACATCAACAAACATGCCATGTAATCAGCAAACGGGCTACAATAATGGTCACACGAGATTTGACTTACGACCATCATGTACAACAATGGAGGCTGGAAATGCATTCAGTGGTCCAAGAAATTGTGGAGAGGGAAATTCCAAATGTTTGTCAGATAATGTTGGTGACTTTGAAAGGCAAATAAAAGATGTACAAGAACAGTTCAACCAAAACAAAAACGATATTCTTCAAAAGGCAGCAGATGAGAAAAGAAGAATACAATCCATGGGCCAGCAGATCGAAAGGCAGATAGACGATATGAGTCAGAGTTACGAAGCAGGACTTAACCAAATGCAAGAAATAGAGAGGCGCCAGAAAGTCCCATTCCAGAGTTCTTCATCGCAAGGAACAGGTGCCCGACAAATGAATAGATTCAAAGAGCAACTGCAGAAAGCTCAAACTGATGTTCAAAAGCTACAAAGACAGCTGCAAAGACAAAAGCGAGATTACGAAGACCATATAAGGAAATTAACTCAGGAGAAAAATTTAATCAATAGCACCCTTCAGTCGATGACTAAAGAGATTTCCGTGCTGAAGTGTGAAAGAAAAAGTTTTCGATGTTCCACCAGAAGTGAAATCGAAAAAATTGAAAAAGTTCACGACATCGAAAAAACTGAGATAAGAGAAAGTTGTGAAAGAAGCAAAAAAGAAGAAATATCTCGTATTAGAGTCGAATATGAGCAACGCATATCAAAAGAAAGAAAGCGTCTTCAACAGACCACAGATGATTTACGCAGAAAGATTTCTGACTTGGAACACAAGGTAAGAGAAGTCGAGCTTGCCCTTCAAAACGAGAAACACAAGTTTGAAAGAGAACGAAGTGAACTTCAAAGGACGCTTTCCAGGAGCCAAGAAGACATCAAAGTCGCATTGGAAAGCGAATACAGAAAAAAAATTGCCAACGAAAAGGAGAAGTTTGAGAAAACACTTCGAGAGTTGCGCACACAGATTTCATCCCTTCAAGAACAACGCAAACAGATACAAATCAAGCTGGCCAGCAAGGAAAATGGTATGGGCAGTGACAGAATCTCAAGGGAAAGAATTATCTTACAGCTCGAGCAAGACTTCCTAGAAAAATTGGAAAAAGAAAAAAGACCTCTGGAAGAAAAATTAAACGATCTCCGAGACGAGTTATCTAAAGCAAAACGCGAGAGGAACGCGGTTAAAACCTCAATGGAGAAGGAGAAAGAGAAATTGCAAGAAGAAGTAGAACGAGTCAAAGACAGCATGAAGAATAAGCTACAAAAAGCTAAAGAGGAGATTGATAGACGAAGCGAAATGATGATTAATCGCAGTATGATGGCCAACAAGATAAAGAATGTGACGGTGAGATATTTTATAAGCTAACTTTGAGAACGAGAAGTATCTAGTCAAAAAAATTGAATATATATTTTATCCATAAAAATTTAATGTGTTTTTTTTTTTACTAATATTTTTTACTAATAAAAATTTAATGTGGTTTTTTTTTAAACTAATATGCTATATCTTTTCATAAAAAAAATAGATGATTTCTGACCTCGAGTCTCAACATCAAGCGCAGTCCAGCCTAAAGCATTATCAAGAACAAATGAACCTACTAGAGCAAAGAAATCTGACCCTTCACTCCAAGAACGAAAGACTCGAACGAGAAGTTAAGGTTCTCAGTGGACGTGTGGAGAGCCTTGAAACTCGTAACCGAGAACTGCAAACAGCCAGTGCTATGGTAAAAAAAATGAATCAATATTGATAATCAAACGAGAAACTTTACTTTGTAGCATTTTATGGTTTAGTTACCTCTTTATCCCAAAAAATTATATTATAGATAATTATATTCCCAAATCTCTTTTTTACAGTCTTCAGTGACATATGAGACTTCTCCTCGCCATCGCAGCTTGAGAACCGACTACAGTTCTATTGGGAATACCAGTATGGGACATCATGCTTACTCAAGGCAATCCCATTTGCAAGAATCGCCTTTTTCACAAGGAGGAGACCAGTACAGCAGCATTTTGGAACGTGCTAGACAAACGATTAATTCAGCAGGAACATTTGGTGTACAAGATAATTATATAACCCCGCGTTCTCTAAATGCAATGTCTGGGAATGGAATTCAGAGAAGACTAGGAACAACAGGAGGATCTGGGTTAGGTATAGGTTTAAGTACCCAAAATGGAGGGATGTCTGGATATGGTGGAGCCTCAAACACCCAGATGACGCCAAGGACCTACACAGGAAACTATGAGGGGGTGTACAATGCAGGTTTTTCAGCTGGGCAAGTAAATTCAAGTGGGTCTTTGAATCAATCCGGTGCAGTGGTCAATGGAGTAACTACTTCAAGCAGCCTTGAGATGAATTCTGACGTTAGCCAAGGCGATGTTGTTAACAGTTTCGAACAAACCGAGCATAAACAGATGAATGAAGGCGATGTCTCAAATGGAGGAAATTCTTTCATTATGGAAACCAAAGAGATCTCAGAAGATATGCAGCAGGCAGATACATCCAAGGACAACGAATAGGTTATTAACATATCTAGAAAACTTATAACACATGACACAATAGTAAATAAGCTACGCTATGGTTAAAAATCAATTTAATGTAAAATGAAAAGAAAATGATAAAAATTTTTCAATATTTGAATTATTATTTTAGCTTTTCCCTTCACGGGTGCACGATGAATTATGTTAATTCTTTCTTTGTTGCAATTTTAGCCAGAAATTTGATATATATTTCACATTTGTTATTTCAAATATGATTGTTTTAAAATATTGTATATGATGTAAAATAAACTCAATTGGGTAATAATTACGATAGCAAAATCTCTAAGATTACTTGCATTTCAAATCCGACCTTAATTCCAATGAATTTCATATAATGCATGCGAAATAAAAAGATAGGACATAAAATAACTTTTTCTGTAATTCTTGTTATTTACACTAGGGACTTTTTGATTGAGGGTATTAATTTCAATTCCTAAAATAAATTCAATCTGTAACTAAAGTGATATAAAAATTTCATTCAGTTCCATTGGGACTAAATTTTAGTTATTCTGTTACAAGATTAAACATTAAACATATCTTATTCTAAAATAAGGAAAAGTCCGATGAAATAAAAATAAACCTATTGAAATTCAATTGTTGATTTATTACTATTTAAATAAAACTGAGTTTTATATATCTATGGTTTTTGTGTGCGTGTTTGTTTTTATACCTTTTCACTGAAGATGTTCAGCGCACTCGATCTAGATCCTCATCTCCGATCCCTCTACGTATTTGTGTAGTAATCACAGTAAACAAATAAAGAATTGATAAAGGCCCATGTGATAAACTTATGAACCAAGAGTGTATATGGTACTAACAGCATCGATTTATGCACTGGTTGAGGATCTATTCGTTGGGTATCGCTATCAACCGCCCTTCGTATAAATGGGCCCTGATGATTGTTTTCTACCTGTACTTATAGTACTTATATAACTTTTGAATAGCTTTAGTACCACAACGGCTACTCCAAAGGCAAGACAAGTCAGGGAAAAAATGGATTAGTTGAGACCTAAATGTTGCATTACTTCAACATGCGTGACTTTTTATTAACGAACGTGTTCAAAACAAGCAATTTGTCCTGGTGTTAAGATACCAGTGTTGTATAATCCTAAACCAAATACCTGCTGTTGACAATTTTACCTGTTGCATTAGGTTTCAATACATGAAGTGTAAGACTTTAAACAATCACTATCTTCTTCGAGAAAGTCTAAATTTTTTTTWAAATAGAAAATGACAATATAAAGTAGAAATTCCTTTTCCTACCGCTTTTTGAGCTGCTCTCAATCTATTATTTTATTTCATTTTTGTTGGTTAATATTTTAATTTTTTTTAAAACTAGAAGTATGAGTGATGTTAAAAAAAACAAACACTTACAATGGCAAGGTTTAACATTCAGTAAGTCTTCCAGAAATTTGTTAATTTTAGTTAAACGTCTTTTACCCACTCAGTAATTGACAGACAAGAGAACTGAAGAAAACAACATCGAAGAAATTCAAAGAAAGAAACAAAAAACAAGAAAGGAAGGAAAGCGAAAAGGAAAAAAAAAAAATAAAACTACAGAAATAGAAAGGCGATCCAGGGGATCTATTAACCACAAATCCTTATGGTAACTTTGCAAAATGGGAAAAAGTTGACCACAAGCTGGCATATGCTAAGCTCTTAAAAAGCGATTGGTTTATTGGTTGACAAAGTACATGATCACAAGCAGTCAAGTACGATAATTCTTAAATAGCTTGATAACGAATATCAAGGTGCTTTTTCTCTTGGCTCTATTGACGAAGCAGGAAGCGTATTAATTGTATCCAAAATGTTATAAAGCATTTTGTAATTTAAAAAGTGAAAATTTGAACAAATGTGATAAAGTGAACGAAAGAACGGCAAAAAGAAAAAGGGAAAAAAAGGTAAGTCAAACTGATATTTCAATAAGAAAATCAAATATTCTAAAAATGAATCAGAATATCAAAACGATTATTATTCTTGCATGATTGAAGTGGATCTAGAAGTCGTGCAACCCCACATAGATTGTGATGCGGAACGCAATACTATGCTGTATGTTGATTTCGTGAGATGCTATGAGTATTGGAAATTAAGAACCAGTTTGAAGTCCAGCTATATATCATAAATTATTCTTTTGAAATGAGATCTAATAATGTTTACTTGCTATGTTTTTTTAACAAAGTGAATTCGGGGAATTAAGAGAAGATGACAGAAAAGAAAGGTTTGACACCTGAAGTAGTCGGTTCAGGAAATAAAGATAATAATAATGTTCAGGAGATGTCATTGAGCATGACAACAACTCCTTTACCCGGTGACCAGCAGCAGTCATTGAGCATGACAACGACTCCCTTACCTGCTGACCAGCAGCAGTCATTGAGCATGACAACGACTCCCTTACCTGCTGACCAGCAGCAGTCATGGAGCATGACAACGACTCCCTTACCTGCTGACCAGCAGCAGTCA